CATCATCACTTCCTTGAGGGTGTGTCATAACACTGTTGGTGTTTCTAATTCCATTTAACACAGGAACCACTCCACCTGCCTGTGACGACAAATCTCCTACGAATGATGAAATCCTTCCCGCAGCAGGAGCCACGCCCCTTGTGAGCGAGACCAGTGTCCAGATGTTGGAAGCCTCGAGATAGGAACTAATGGTGGTAGTTACCAGACAGATGTACTTGACACAGTCATCAGCGTTGCTGCACTGTTGTGCTCCCTCCTGTCTCAGCACCTGGTCGTACAGGTAGTCACTAGGTACATGGCTCTCCGGAGAACAGTCGCTCCCTACAGCACAGAACAAGTCAATGTATTGTCATAAGTAACTAGCCCAGCTTATATTTCCTGTTCATCCTGTTAGGACTAACACTAATAATTGAAACAGGCTAATATTCTTCACATCTGATATGCATACCTAGCCCTGTTTATATGGAGTCACATTCACTATTAATTATCAGATACACAGCCAAAAAAACTTGAAAATGGACATATACAGTAATATGAATAGGTTCACATAATGTCCTAGCAGTACCATTATTTCAATCCAGAAATATTAATCACATATGGTAAAATGCATAAACAAACAGATGGAAGTCATTCATGGGTGTACCTCCACTCGTAAAAACGAAACATAACGAAATATTTTTCATTATATAGAAGTTCCAGAATGTTATATGTATACCTTGAGAACTACTGATATGTTCCTCTTTTTCAAAAGAAAGCAGCAAGTTTCTCATATTTTTTGTCACAGCGAGGTCCTGGGGAGTAGCATTGTTGATTGTCCTACATCGCATAAGTGCCCAACCTGGAACGAAAATTTTAGGTAAAGGTAGTCCTACATTGCCTAAGTGCCTAACCTGTAACAAAGTGAAAGATAGTCCCATATCACATATGTGCCTAACACTTGTAACACAAGTTGTGTTAAATACAGTCCTACCACTGAAAGATCATGGAATGCTTATGGTACAATAGGTTCTTTAATCTCTGCTTTCTTTAAACATATATACATCTACTGAGGAGATCATGCAAAACACGTTTCAACATATTTGAGCGGCTTTTACGCGCTACATTTCCCAATCAATCTCAAATTGAAGCATGCACATCTGGGGACAAAGGGGATCATGCAACCAAATTTTATCATAATCCCTTTAGTATTTTCAAATGAAAACAAACTTAAGTTTAAATGCATACCAAATCTAATATAGCCTAATTGCCAGTTCCTTGTCTTGATTTCCTGAGTTTGAACATAAAGGGGATCATATACACCATTACCAGTAGCTAGTTCCCGAGAGAAAGCGGTTCACAAATTTAAAATGCAAAATCATCAATGAATGATTAGAAGTTTTTTGCTGATTCGTCTCTAATCAAAACATAAACAAAAAACATACTACAGAGATCATACATACCAATTTTTCGTAATGATCCCTTTAGTATTTTTCAAGAAAAATCATTAATAAACTTTACATGGAAAATCAAACACAGGCAGCCATTTTCCTTTTTAACCATTTCACCCCTAGGTTACTTGAGTAGACTCTACCATACATTCATCTGGATGAGTCCATTA